ACAGCTGTGCAAGTCGGTAGTTTTGAGACATGCAAGTTGAAGGACGAAAGGTTGGTAGAGCATCGTGAAATGCAGGAGAAAAACCTGAAGACCAACGTTTTAAATCGATTAAAACGATAGCAATTCTCTATATATGATGACCCCATCAAAGATGAATGGTCAAAAATGGATGTATTCGGATTTGGTCATCCGAACTCGGGGCGCCATTCACGAGAAGGCCCATGAGTGCTCCTGGCACCTGTGCACCATCCGATCATTGAATCGAAGTATGTTCCGTCCACCGGCTTCCCCGATATACCTTTCCACCACGTATCCACACACAGATGCCAGTATCTGTAATTCACTGTACCTTCATTCGAGAAGCAACCCCAGGGCAGAAAAACGAACAAAGGAAAGCAATATCCAAGCCCCACACGGCCTCAAGTCAAAAGCCGAAGGACCAAAAGGCCCGCAACAGAAAACAAACGCAATCAAAGCACACAGCCCAAGACCAGGCTCCAAGCTCAAGCTGAAATCAATAATACACGATTTTGTCTCTCTTGAAATTGCAATCGTAGAGGCAGAGGTGTTGCTAGATAGAACCTGGTCAGTGAGTGACTTAAAAACCCCTATTGATGTTCAATAATTTGCTTCAATGGCCCGAGGCGGCGCGAAAAATCTTCATCTTAAAATACAAAACTTTTAGCTGGCCAAGCTTGTGCCTCCCCCTTTTTGGCTGCACGCCGCTTTCGCCAGATATTCTCGGCGACGCGTCGCGCTTTTGCTGCCTGCTGCTTGGCGTCTCCCTTTGCCTTGCAGCTAGCAAACCATTGAGGCCTGGATGAGCTGCTGATGAGTCGCCCGATTACCCTTAATAAGTTTAGCCGCAACATGGCCGGACCCAGGCAAAAACATTGCAAAAACAAAGCGAAAAATGCAAATCCGAAAAGCCAAAAATGAAAAAGCAAAAGCAGAAAAAAAAATGTCCAAAAAGCAAAACAAAGCACATGAAAAAGCAAAAGCAAAAAAAAAAAAGAAAGAAAAGCAAAAAAAAGAAAGCTAATAATGAAAAAGCAAGACCAAAAATAGCAAATCCAAACAGCACAAAACTCAATTTGCCGTTTGTTGTTTCGCTGTTTTCGCTTTTTCGTTTTGCGCCTTTCGGGTACGTTTTTTCGCTGTTGCTTTTTCATGTGCTCTTTTTTGATTTTTGGATTTGTCTTTTTGTGCATTTTCATGTGCTTTGCTTTTTGGGTTTGCGTTGTTTTGTGTTTGCTTTTTCTTTTGCCATTTTTTGCTTTTTCGTTTCATTTGCTTTTTGGATTTGCTTTTTGTTTGCTGCCACTTTTGCGTGTGCTTTTCTTGCTTCTTGAATTTGTTTTTTTTCCGTTTGCTTTTTGTATTTAGTTGCTTCGTTTTCGCTTTTTTTGCTTTTTTTGCAAAACCATGAGAGACATGCTGGGTGGCTTGACATAAACAAACTTTATACTCAAAAAGCGCATTGCCCTGAAACCGTGGCCACGCATCTGTCACGATAGGGCCTTGGACTACGCAAACATGCTTCTCAAAAAAGCCAACGCAATCTCTCTATGTCTATTTTAGAAGGAGAAGGCACAATGCCGGACTTTTGTAACAATTGACACAACCTCTCCCCACCGCCAGACGCAATCATCTCGCACAGCAAAGACATGTATATAAACCCACCTGTGGCAACAACGCACACATTTGGTGCCATACAGACGCAGCCTCGTCGACAGGTCCTGACGGCGTCTGCATCACCCAAAAATTGTTTGCCCCGTCTTTTTTTCGACCTCAGCTCTGTGCACCACGGTGTTTTGAGATAACATGACGGGTCGGTTACTGCTTGCCACGGTGCCGTCTTTCAACGTCGTATGTTAAAATAGTTCCCCTCACTGCGGCTCTTCCAATAGTCAACGGCCGGAGAACGCCCTTGAGTCTGCATAGTTCCGCTTTTCAACAAGTGGTCATTCAGTGTCCCAGGCAACGTGGTCATTTTCATGGCTTTTCCCCAATCGAAGATCGAGGACCACCTCTCATACAGCTCTTGCATTGCTTGGAAAACATCACATAGGCTGGTCTTGCTCCGCGCTTGTATCTCTTTCTGCCATGAAGAATGCCGCGCCTCCAGGCCTTCTGCGCCGCTGCCAGTGCCAGGAAATGTTCCAAAAATGCCAATCCAAAATGACGGCTGCCACACTTTTTTGCTGTCCCAAGCACACTTCTCCAGGCCTCTGGAGAATCTCTGCGTCACTTCCACTGTTCCACATTCGAAAAAATTGCTTTGGAGATAGACGACGGCGTTCCCCTCCCCTCTGGACTCAATGTCTCGGAACACAACTTGCCAAATGGCATCTGCAAGCTGCACTGTCGGCAGCGTTCGGGTCAAGTCGGACAAGGCCACCAGATCTTTTACAGACTGATGCTTGGCTCCCTTTGCTTTCGGCGCCGCTTGCTTCATCTTTCGTGGTAGGGAGCTTTGAATTGCCGATCAAGCGAACCTTGTTGAAAATTTGCAACCTCGCTGCGCAAATACTCTTCGCATAGTCTTGTACCAAGGTCTTGTGCAAATCAAATTTCCCCGCCTGAACACAGACAGATTGGGGAAAAAGCTGGCAGCGGATTGTGTCCCAACGTGACAACATCAAACCTTGGCGGTAGAAGGGGAAAAGATGCGTTTCAAATCGGTGAACCCGCTGGTGACATTTTCTTCTCTGCGCGCGCAATCACTTGCAAAATGGGCTGCGTGGTGCAAGTGTGTGCCAAATGTTGCTGCCTTTTTCCTTGGAATATTCTATAGGTCGTGTTTCGGACTTCCGAACTCGATGCAGCAAAAGCATAGGTGATGACCCCGTAGTTGTTGGCCATCACACTTTGTTTCATGTCAGCTATCAACTTCACGCGATGCTTCGCAGCATCTTGCATGAGCCAGAAATTGTCAACACGCATGTCGCGGTCATGTGCCCATGTGAATTGTTTGTGGCAGGATTCCAAAGATTCCAAACCTTGTCAACCATGGATGGCCTACCTGGAGACCAATGGCTGTGGAATGCTTCACCCTGATCCAACTCCCCCGAAGCAATGCTATTTCAGGGGCTGCGCTGAGCCATAGCTACAAAGTTGTGGAGAAAGCTTTGTCACAGCACGGCCCTCTGGTGTTCAAGGTCGGATACACCCATTGTCCGTATTTTCGGTTTAGAAATCCAACTTTTTGCTACTGTCACGATGCTCACCATATATATAGATATATATATATATATGCTCACCCCCCCAAAAAAGTATATATATATAGTTCCTGTCTGTGACTGTGACGTTGTCTGCCGTTGTTGGCTCTCGCTAAGTCAACTCGTTCGGCTTCCAACTTCTGTTTGCGGGCCCTGTAGCCACGGATTCTGTTCGATGTGTACCCTTGCAGAAGGTTCTGTTTGATTAAACAAGCCATTTGCATAAAGGAAAGAACTGTCGGCATTTGCCGCAAGAAAGCAGCTTCGGCATATGCATCTGCCAACATGCCAGTAGTGGGCCAGTAGCGCTTGCATTTCCAGACCGAAATGATTGGTGATTGACTTATAGGCAGTCATCGCCAAATCTTCCGAAGGCCACCCGACTTGAAAGCTGGAGCAATTCAAGCGGCCAAACAGTGCTGAATTTTTGGCGTAGCTTCCGGCCTCCAATCCACCCCGGAACACAAGATGCTAAACTAACCCAAGTACGAATAGACCAAACAAAAAAGCTTGACATTGCTGGTTGCACCAAGAAAAATGGTATGGTGCCGTGGCGCATAGGGCGGTTTGGGGTCAAAAAACTCCCATTACGCCATCTGGAACTCCGGGTTGCCCGCGATCAATGCAAATCTCGCCCAAATATCAACAGTAGATGAGCCAAAGAAAGGCTGCCCCCTTTCCTTTTGAACGGGTTGGCAAGAAGGGCCGCCACAAACGACAAAGAAAACTTACAGCAAATCCCCCAACCGAGCTGCAGGCCAAGGCCAACCCTCAAAGTGTTTGAAGTGGATGACTAGCAGCCCGCCGCGACCGCTCCATGGAATCTCGCAGAAGGGTGCCAAATCATTTCGACACCATTTACCAAACAAGTTAACAGTGGGATCACGAAATCACGGGCCCATAAATTGAAACAACCTTTGTTTTGGACTTTGGACGCCGATCCCCCACCTCGGGTTCGCTCCAGACGTGCACGCGTAATCCATGAGCACGTGTGAATGTCCCCCTTCAAAGATCCCACCTACTTCGAAGGGCTACGCGGCTACCTGTGAAACACACCGCGTTGTATCATACTAACACCTTCATCACTGCCCCTACAGCAGTAGAGAAGAATATGTTACCCTCAAGGCTCACCACTTGGCAGTATTTTTCAAGGCCCCCCGGCCACAGGCCGCTCCCAGTGCCGACCGCTTCAAAACCCAAGCGGCCCAGAGCTTCGCTTGCAGCTCTCCCGGCGCCTTCCGCACCTCGACGACCAAGCCACTTGAAACCACCAGAGTTGAGGAAGTCTATAGGTGCATCATGGTATATATATATATATATATCTATCTATCTATCTATCTATCTATCTATCTATCTATCTATCTATCTATCTATCTGTGTGTGTAATTCTGTGTAATGTCAAATCTTGACAAACAAAAAAAATTGACTGCAAAACATCTTCATTCATATGGGGTTTTACAAACCAAGATTACAAGAATCGACCTTAGCTAGCTTGTTCTGGGAGACACGGGACCGGGAATAGAATGCTCCAATGCTCTGGATCTTCCAGGCACAAAATGGGCCTGTTCCAATGCTGAGATTAGAATCAGAACTGAATCCCTATTTCAATCATATTCAATCTGACTTCGGATACCCTTTCCTGGCATGCATCTACCGACTCAGGGGATCTGTCACAGGGAGATGGGTTCCAATCTAATTAGTGCTGAACACTTGAGTATGCGTCCTAGGGTTTGTGGGCCATTTGCCCATTCATTCCAGTGCGTAACAAATCGTCCCCTGCTACACGCGCAGGACGTTGTGCATGTCTAACGTGGTTCTTTCGAGGAAAGCACCGGGAAGCACGGCCTCTGAGAAGCGCGCGAGCAACCAGGGCAGAGTCAATGGCATGAAAACCAGCCCACCAACCACCAGGTAGGACGGCACGCAATCCACGCCTCCGCCGCGGCCGAGGCGCCACAAAAGGGCGGGGGTTGGGAGCCGTTTTTTTTTTTTCGCCGGTCGCTGTGGAGGGTGAGATGGTGGCCATGTCACACCACCCAAAACAGGGGAAAGTGCGAAGCGTCTTTGTAGCCAGAATGAATTGTTTATGTCTTTATGTTGGCTGCGTCCCATGCGTTTCTTTGAAGCACCTCAGCCTCCTGCAAAATTTGCTTGCAGAGCTCCTCCTCCAAACCCACCTGCCGAACCAGCACCATTCTCCCACTTCCTCACACATGCCACCGGCAACCCACCGCTACCACGGTCACCGCGACGGTCGCCTGCCCTTCGCGGCACCAGCTGCGGCAACGGCTTCGCCGAGACGTGCACCTGCAAGGCCTTCTCCTCTCCACGTCCAGACGCAGCGGGGTCCAAAAAAGGGGTCCGGTCATTCCCTCAAGACCCTGCATGCGCCAGTCTGGAGCCGACTGGCAAGGGGCCGGGCCACATTGAGGACTTAGGGCTGGATGGGACAGAAAATGGACATGTTCAGCCCTTTTCGAAAGCAAACCAGCAAACGTTGCACCGAACTTGGAGTCGGTGCGGAAGTGATGACCCACCAGAATATTCACCGAATGGACATTCCCACCGATGTCAATCTTATGACTCACAGTAGCGACGTAGTGGTGAAGCGGAAAGTGGAGCTGCACTGCGGAGAAATCACCCTCCTGGCCGCTGCACCGCAATACCACTCGTCTTTGGCAGGTTAGTGTCCATAGAAGGTGTTTCCAGAAACTCACAACAAAAGCACATATTGCTGCGAAAGCACCCACTCCCTGTAAATTCTGAGGAGGGTCTTGTGAATGCCCTTGGCCGACAGTGTTGCCCTTGGCGCTCCTCGGCCTCCGATCTCCACACCTTCACACCTCATCCGGCGCGGACTCTCAGTCTCCAGGTCGGCGGGACACCCGGCACCGACAGCCAAGGTGGGGGAATGAGCTAAAGCAGCCAAAAAACCTGTGTTGTTCCCAGGCTTGTGTCCTTATCTTGCAATTTACATACCGGCTTCCCTTAAGGCCCCTTAGGGCCGCGTCCACTCTGGGTCTAGTGGAGTCCTGCTTCTGGGGTGGGCACATGCTTGTTGGTCTAAGCTGGCCAAATACCGGTATAGTTTTTCACTGTAAGATCACACATTCAAACCCGGGGCAGAACATGGCATATGAGTCAAAATTAACCGCAAAAACCTCAACTGCTGCAAAACGTTGAGCACTTTTTATCTTACAGTGAAATACTATCTACAACATGCACCGATCCATTCCGCTGTGTCAAGATGTCGGCAGAGTGTAGCGCGATTCTGTAGAGACTAACACAGGTCGGTCACCTCATCCTGTCAGGAGTGGTCAGAAAACAACAAAATGCCCTCAGGGCAACTTTCACCCTCCACACACGGACAGGGGCCATAGGGGCCTTCACACCCTACGGAGTTCCGCACGAGCCCAAGCCACTGAAGAGATCTCCCGTCACGCGCCGGGAGACCAAAAAGTCGAACCTGAGCTCCGAAACCAGTCGGACAACACGGGCGGAGGCGGGCGGAGCCAATTGGGATGGGGATGCAGCGATATGTTTTGTATGCAGTGCATGGTGGGGAACTTCAATTTTACTTTCTGTTCACATGTGCGACACTCGAGAGAGAGAGAGAGGACCTAGTCTCCATCTCCATCTTCCTCAGAGTCACCGGATTGGGAGTTAAATTCTTCTTGCTGTTTCCTTGGTCTTCTGCTTTGCCATTTGCCGCATTGATGCGGCGTTTGGTGCCCTTCATGTCCGTGTCGACAGGAGGGAGAGAGGGAGAGAGAGAGAGAGAGCCATCCTGGAATTGAGAACAAAATGCAGCATACATATATATATATATAGTTATAAGTTATATGAAAATAGGAAACTGGTCACTTTTCGGTTTGGTAATGTTCTATCTACTCCAGGATGGTTGCATATACGGCATACCAGTGTACACCCCAAGAATCCTTGGACCCAACACCCTCGCAGGGGGCTGGATCCGAAGAAAAAACCCTTTCCATTGGTTCGAGAAGACTTGTGATACTCGTTTCACCGTATGGATGCAACAGTCAATGCTCCTCCTTCATCACCCACCCCACACATTCCACCTTCGAAAAGCACGTGCCCCTTTGCAAAGTGTTTCGAGGGTCCAAATGTCCCGACCCCTGCGAAGAGAGTCCCCGGCATTTCGGTGCGGGGTCCAACTGGATGGTCGAAAAATATCGACCATATCTGTGCTCCTGAGCATCCAACAGGTCGCGGTGTGGGAACCTCTTCCAGGATGCCATATTCATAGAGAGTCCTGTCGACTAGTTCAAAACCTCTTGACCTGGCCCACTGAGCCCGCTGAGCCCGCCGCCCAATTCGCTCAGCGTCGCGGAAGGGGATGGAGCCATCCTCCGCCACAGGCACATCATCGATGGCTAGCAGCACATCGCCCGCCTTCGTCGCGCTTCCGACGCATCAACACGTAGAAAAACACCATGGAGCCTTGAAACTTGAAGTTCCAAAGTCCTTTTGGACTACAGTCGCTACAGTTTCAGATCCTTCTTCCCAAAATCAGTCCGCGTGAAAGGCTGAGGCCGTTCTACCCTGTCACACCATGCCACACTTCCGCAGGTTCCACATTCGCCTTGAGACCAGCTTGCGCAGCCGCCGACAGGGGCGCCACATCTACGACCAAAGCGCCATCCTCCGTCTCCTGCGGATCTGAAGCGCCAGGTGGCTTGGTTTGTAGGGTTCCACCTGAAGGGAAAAAGAAGGAAAAGAAAAAAAGAACGTCCTGTGGCACATCCTATGCCCAATCTCAACGCGTTTGGGCGAAAGCGATTTCCACCCACCAGGCCCACCGTCCAGGCCATGCCAGGCTCGCAGGGCGGCGCTCCGCGCGGGCTGCAAGCGGACGCCCAGAGCGCAAAGCACCGGGCTGCGGCAGCGCGCCACGCCCCGGAGGAAGTAGCGCACCACAGAGCCTGGAATCACGTAGCCTGCAGCTGAAGGGATGCGCAGCATGGGTGGACAAGTTGGAAGAAACGGTTGAAAACAGTTTGGATAAGAAGTACTCGGTACACTTCGAGTCATAGAACCTCCTGCGGCATCGAAGCGTCTAATCTGGTGTGTGTTCAAATCCACTGGCCTTTTTTTTGGCGCCGGTCAGCTCAACCTCTTGAAAGCCTTGACGAAGCCACTGCCGACTGTCAACCTACCACCATCAACCACTTGCCAAGCTATTGAAATCCAGTGGTGATGATCTATGGACCAACAAAGTTCTGCTTCCCTGTCCTTTCCGCACCATGGAAGTGAAACAATCATTGGATATTAAAATTATCTTGATTCAATTTAATGTGTATGATGTTTAAAAAAAGAATGTTTCACAAAAAACGCGTCGAATCGCATCTAAACTAAACAAGAGCCCTGACTACAATCCTGGCCCGGCTCAACGGGCGGTCATTTCCTGAGCATCAATGAGGTACTTAAGACCCCCTTCTTTACCAGGCCACCGATGTTTGCGCTGCTCTGCAACTTGGCAAAGGCCACACCCACCGCCTTACACAGGAGGGAGCGAGTGTTGATCAAACGTGGTGGCTTTTTAAGTGATTTGTGGCCTACCGACATCCAACACCCCTTTCAATTCAATAGGTCACATTGTCCCACCAACTGTATGGAGTGGCATCTCGCTCTCACGCGCTACTCCTCCGAGAAACTTTATTGCTTTACACCCCCCTCACGCATGCCAGCAGAGCAGCCCCTACGAGGGATAAGTCCAAAGCATTTGCAGTTGTTTTCTTTCGCCCCAAGTCCGTTTGCCACCAGGTTTTAGCTCGGTTTCATGACCTCCGAGCACACATCACGAGCCCAGCCTTTCCGCTGGCGTCCAGCACGGGGCCACCGGAGTTGCCGGGGTTGATCGCAGCATCGACCTGGAGGCTTCGGCAGTATCATAAGCCGCAGGAACTTCCCAGCCCACTTCCAGCCAAAGTGTGGTGATTTCAGGTGGGGAAGGGGATTGGACCATTCTGTCTGCATTTTTCGGCTGCGCCAAAAAAAGGAGAGGTTTAAGTTCTGGGTTCAAAGACTCCTCGCGAACACGGTGCAGATTTTGCGGATGTCTTGGACGCATCTCGCATTTAAAAGGATCAATGATCACGTTGTACTCAAGCCCTCACAGTCCCTTCAGAATGATTAACGTTCCCCAAATTTTAGTTGTTTGAAAACTGTTTGGCAAGATCCTTTCGTTCCAGTCTGTGGTTGAACCTTTCACACCAGAAAATGGGCCTTGACAAGCCATTAAACGCCCATGAGCCCTCACTGAGCACTGTCTTTGGCACAACGATGTTGTCACCAGTTCGCAACCCTGGGACAGTGGCCATGTAGGCTTGAAAAATCGGGTTTGTGACTCTATGACTTCAAGTTTCATGTCTGAGTCTTCAAAAGGGATCACGCACGGAACCACTCAGCGACCGGGCCTGAGTCTAAGAAGGGCTTCTTAAGACCGACATCTGAACATGTTTGCACGGCTATACATTCCATGAGAAACCACAAAGTCAGGGGCATTAAGCTTCGAAACAGGCTGGAAGTTTGGAGCTGAAAGTTTCTGAATCAAGGAATCATGTCTGAGAGAAAGGAGCATGGAAACGACACGAACGTGCTTTGAAGTTGAAGAGGCGCCTTTGGAGAAACACTGTCCATCCGATGCTATGTTCTTGCTGGGCACCCAGGCTGTTTGAGGGGAGAAGCTCGATGAGCACGGGGCAGGTGTTCGGTGGCGGTCCATACGCGCCGCCAAATCGTTAAAAAACAAACTATTAATTAGGGAAGTGACAAAGTGTCAAAAAGACCCAGACCAAAAAAGACATAGAAAGGGAGACACGGTTCCAACACAAACAACACAGAAAAACCCTTGAAAATAACATGGCCGGTTCCGCATGCTCCATAAATAAGCATAAACAAGTTTAAATCGACAAGACACAAACAAATAAGTATCAAACATCAAATAAACTAAAAGGACAGAAACACCCCACAAAGTCATAATACATGGAAATGACGATAGGAATATGAAACTCAAACCCAAACATAAAACCAAACGAACAAAAACAAGTAGCCACCTCGTTGAACATCAATGAACAAGGTCAATTTAGAGTCAAAAATTGAAAGCCAAACTTCCTCAGAAACACCCACTGAGAGAAAGCAACAAGGTCAAGGAAATAGCGTTGACCTTCCACAAAAACGAACAACAAACATAGCAACAAACAAGGCGCCCAGAAGCCCCCGTTCACCCTTTGACCCCCGTTCACCCTGCCAGACCTGCATGACCAGCTGTCGCTCACCGCCTGGGAAGACTGCGGACTGGGCGCCGTCTTAGACGACACATTCGTACCCCCAAGCCCCGCGGACTGTAAGATCTGGGCCTGGTGACAGGGGAGTTGTCAAGCAGCCAACTGGAGTCTTGACAGGGTGCTCCCGAATCATCAGGTCTCTTGAGCTCAAGAGACCTGAGTTCGGACCATCTAAGAAGGATAGGGGCCTTGGGTCCTCCAGTTCTCCTCCCCCCCGGCTCCAGCGACGGCCTACTGGTGAGAAGGTGTAGTCCATCAGATCGATTCTGGACACCTCAGATCGATTCTCCATCCCGATTCGTCGACCGGGATCTGAAGTCGATGTCAGAGGTCAAACCTCGGACATGGGTCATCTGAGGTGTTCAACCGTTCAACCAAAAACTATATAACATCGTCGAAACACCTTACAACTCTTCTGAAGCAGCCAGCCGCGCTAAATTGCACCCATTCATCCGCGGTCGCGTTCGTCACCAGGCCGCCACCCCTCGAGTCACACAGATGTTCTCTCCGCCCAAGGGGTAGCCCACCGTCAGCACGTCGCTGTCCAGCTCCGGAACCTCCTCCGACAGTTCCACGGAGCTCAGGGCCTGGGAATAGGCTGGACGAAGAGCAGGACTGCTTGGTGTCTGTTGATGTGTGTTTCTCTGACATGTTGTTTGTACATGTTTATACATGCAACTTGTCAGTATCCATCCATCCATCATGCATCCATACTTTGGGTACCATTTCCACTGTTTCCACCAACCAGCCATGATTTTTGAGCGACCCATAGGTCAACGGCGTGATTCGGAAACTAGAACCGCGGATTCGGAAACTAGGGTGGCCACGGATTCGGAAACTAGGCACGGCGCGGATTCGGAAACTAGGATTCGGAAACTAGAATGGGTCTGAATCGGCCAGTTTCTGAATCCCGGGAGTTTCTGAATCGGGACACCCTGTAGTTTCTGAATCGGCTAGTTTCTGAATCGGGTGAGTTTCTGAATCGGAACACTCTGTAGCTGTAGTTTTAGAATCGCAAGTTTCTGAATCGGAGCTAGTTTCTGAATCGTCTTCTGTTCGACCCGTGTGCATCTCCGGCATCTGTTGGCCATCCTGGAGACATAGCACGTCACCCAAACTCCGCCCAGGCACCGGCGGAGCTTCCCAGAAGGCCTCCGCCGGCACCTCTAGCAGCGCCAAATCCACTTGCGGCGAGATGCAGAGCACCTGACCCATTTTCGGTGCCGAATCCCCCCCACCAAGAGAGGAAAATGATGGACCAAAGAGCCCGTTTCTCAGTTCCTTGCAGATCGGAGAGAGGAAAATAAGGTACTAAAGCACTTCTTTTCTTTTTTCATTGTGCTCCTTGGATGGTAGGACCGGCTCCGAGCAGAATGTTCAGCATGCGGAGGTGAGACTTAAAATATTGGATGATAAGAGCAAATTTGGAGGGCTGTGTGCCCCACCAGTGTTTTGCTTTCCTTGACTCGAAGCACCCTGCACCGTCGCTCCCATCGCTCCAAAGAATCTTTTGCAAGGGAAAGCGGTCTCTGAGGGGCCCACGTCAGGTTGACACTTGGGAGAGAACTCGGGAGGCTACTCAGCCCACAGACCTGTGAAAAGGAATGAAGGAGATCCTCTTCGATGGGGCCAAATGACCTACTCACTCCGAGTTCAGTTCTGCCTTCACTGCCGACTGAGACCCAAGACCACAACTATATAATCCCGAGTACCTATTTAAAAACGGACCCCTATTAAAAAAATATAAAAACGTCATGTCGGAACCCCCTAAATACGTGTTATATGTGTTGTTTAATTACCGCCCTTTCAAACCGCTACTAAACTACAAGTACCAACATTGTAACATGGCCGATTTGGAGGAGTTTTCTTTATTTGGCTCCAAAAACAACCGTAGCTGCCCACCTCTTTAGTTGTTAGTCTAATGAAGAATCACTATTCTAATAAAGGCTTTTGTAGGGGAAAAGGAAGACCCTTCGATCTGGAGGTTTTTTAAATTTGTGATATTAGTTTTATAAAGCATTTTATATAAAATTTTCCTGGATTACTTTTTGGTTTTGAAGCCCTTCTCAGGTGACCCTATTTTGGACCCCCGATTTCAGGGACCCCCTATTAAAAGACAGAACGGCAGGCCCTGGAAATGCACTTTTTCATCAATTTTCAGTGATCTGGAGGTGCATTTTTGTATGGTTTTTTTCAAGGATCTACTCAGATGAATTGCCAAGGACATCTCAACTGTTGTCCTCTGACAAAATGCAGAGTACCAAAAAAAACAATAAAACCAAAAAAACAATCCTGACATACTCGTTGGACACCCCCCCCACCCCCAGTCCAAGACCTCCCAGGAATTGTGTTTTTTGCTTTTTTTGATTTTTTTGTTTTTCTTTTTTTTTGGGGGGGGTGTCCAAGACCTCCCCCGAATTGTATTTTGTTGTTTTTTTATTTGGGGGGGGTGTCCAAGACCTCCCAGGAATTGTGTTTTTTTGATTTTTTTTGGCTTACTCCCTGAACAGTCTCCTAGGATTGTGCTTTTTGACACCTACCGCAAGACAAGACTTCTGAAGGGGTTGTTATTTTTGTGTTTATTTTGTGTTTTGGTATCTCTAACTTTTGCATCACATTCATCAGTATTTTTAAAGTTAAAAATAGAGCACCTTGTAGCATTTCTGAATTCTAATGTGTTTTCTTCACTAATAACCATTGGTTTATTAAGATCTATGTTTTCAATGATATCGGGTTTGATATTACCCAATTGTTCTATAAATTTATCCATACAATCCTCACCCCTATTCAGATAAGGTGTGGATGTTTTGTCAATTCTATTCACCACATTCAACATATAACCGCAAGGTTTATGCTCTTGATATGTACCCCTTAATCCCATCAAAAGAAGTCACAGTAAGACATTCAAAATCTCCATAAATAACAAAAGGATGTTGAGATTTGGTATTATATTTTTGAATTTCAATAAAAGAACCTTCAGGGGGGTAGTTTGAATTGTTGCCCCGCAATTGCTAATCAACCCCTTTTATAATGTTCTTCCAAGCCCTCTGTTTTACAAAAGGAATGAGAACAATACCTAGAGATATATGTTTTTTTGTTATCTTTATTCAATTAACAATTTAATAACCTACTCAAACTTCTTATTAAAGCATAATGGTATCTATTTTTACCATCAAACACTCTCAATAAGTCAGTATGATATTTAGCATTTAAAACTTTGGTTGCTCTTGGTTTGATTATGTTATTTTCATTAAAAACATCATTTGTTTCAAAAACATTTACTGAAATTAAACAATAATTATTCACTTCAAGCCTGTCAATATCTCTATTACCTGCTGGAAAATTTCCCAACTGATGATGTCATCCTTCAATTTGTTATAATGAAACATTTCTGTTGGGTGATGTTTATTAAGCTTATCAAAAACTACTGGTTGAATACAATACGTTAAGCATTTGTTATAAACATATTTTCTTATTTATATTGATACAAGCCTGTTTAAACTAAACAAAATTAGGTAACTCTATATATTTGTCTGCCCTGTTGGATTATATCTATCATAATGGATGGTAATAGAAACTACCTTGTAATTTTTAGATTTGACCTTGAAGCCTCAATCTGTTCTATTTGAAGTAGTATTTCTTTTACACTATCTTCTAAAGCTTTATTCAAGTCATCTTCATTATTAATGTTGAATCTTGTGGATGGTAAATTATGAGGTATCTCGGACTCACCTATATCACCATCACTATCACCATCAAAATCTTCACCATCATTAACATTAGGCATACTAAATAATGCTTCCGAACTTATGTTGAGTTTCATATTATGATTATGTTTAAGAAATTCCGCAAGTAATGAGTTTTTATGTTGTATCATTGGTAAGCCTTGTTCTCCTTTAAAGTGCTTGTTTATGAGCTTAAGATTATTGGCATATCGTTTAAAAGCTGATTTACCTTTTTCTACTCTGAACCTATTTTTGATAGCATATTTGGTTAGGGCTTTCTTCATGCTCCAATGAAATTATCTTATGGTCGTAACTTCTATATTCATCAGTTTTCTTCACTTATTCCAATGTTTTCAATCTTTTGAGATATCTATGTTTTTGTTGTATCTGAATTGTTGATTGTCAATAACTATTGACTTTAGTTCTTTGTTACCCTTTTTGGGTATTTCTGCTTTATCAATTTTAAGCAAAAAATATATATTTGTTCATCATATATTACTATATATTTTACACTTTAACTACTCGTTAAGTATATATTCAATGAATTTATATATATTTACTTAAATTTACATTAATTTGTAATAATAGGTGAGGAAGTCTTGGGATACCTATTTAAAGAAATATTGATATTAATATCCAAGGAGTATACTTGGGGAAATACTTGTGTTAAGCCAAAACTAGCAGATGAAGGAAGACATGTCAGATAACTTAGTAGAGCTCAAAAATTGGTGAAAAAGTGCACTTCCACAGCCTGCCGGACTCTTAAAAAAAGGCGACCGAGGTGTCCTTATTAGGGGAGGGCGCGTGTTTTTTAATAGGTGGACAGGATGAGAACATCCTAGGATGTAAATGTATATAAGCATAACACCTGGGTGTCATTGAGGTCTTGGGGCCAAACGTGGAACATCCTTTGTTATCAGGAGGAGCCGGCGAACACTCTCAGCGACTCCTTCCGGGTGCCTTGGCGGGATACCGCGCAGCATGCCCGTAGCGGCGCACGCGCACCGTGACCTTCGCAGCGGTTCGCTCCCCGGACGTCCGTGGGCCCAAAACCCCTCGCCCCTCACCCTAAAGAATGAAGACTAGCGCCTAGCGCTGGTGTTTTCCGGTCGAGTTTTGGTGACCTAAGTTTCGACCCACATCACTCATGGGCCGTCACCTCAGGTTTCAAGCTGTTTCATGTTGATCCAGCTCTGTCCGAAACTGAATGGGTCGCCCTGGCGACCACCTGCAGATGGTCCGAAACCCACGCCCGCCGAGCAGCCGCATCTCCCACCACATGCGCATTCGTGAGGATCTAGGTGCGTGGCGCGGCCGCGCCAGCGGGCGGTTAGCAAGGAGAGAGGGGTCGTCATGGGGCGTTCCGATGGTCGGTTTTTTGCCTCACCCTCACACCATGAAAGCCACACGCAGCCACACATGAGTCATGAGGACAGAAAATGGTGGGGATGGAAAACCGGCACGGCAGATTCCTCAGGGCAGCTTGTAGCCGCTAGGCATCTATCAAGCATGTGGGGCGTCTTCAGGGGTCTGAATCGACGCTGGTGCTCGATCTCCAGACCAAAAAAAAAAAAACAATGTGTAATCGATGGACAGTCCATCCATCATCCAGTTGATAAGAGTTGGCAGTTGAGTTCTCTAGCCTTCATGCAGGAAGAGTTCGAGTTGGCTTGATCAATCGACGTACCTACCAGGTGACGAGAAAAAGAATCTCCGAAACCAACCAGTACTGATCAGTCATCTATATTATACAAATATAACTATATAACTATATATATATACAATGACCACTAGGCAAGACCTTCACCATAGCCTCAACCTTACAAGCCGGCTCCTGAGAGGTTCCGGACTCCCTCGCAGTTTCACCCGACCCTCACCTGTCGGCGGCTCGCATTGATGCAAAAGCCAGAGCCGCTCCCCGCACGCTGCGGGCGCCGCTGCCACGGCGAGGTCCAGTTGGGCTGAGAGCTTCGCACGAAGACCTGGGCGGCACGCCCCGAACAGAGTGTCGGTCTGGCAGGTGGTCGGCAGTGGTTGGTCTAAATCAGAACACAATTGAGCGGAGCCCTCTCTTCAGGAGCTCCCAAACTCTTGGTGCACCGAACTCTTCAGGAGCTTCATGTAAATTCTAATTTGGCTTTCACAAGTCGTCCCAGTCTGACTTCAAATCAGCACATCAATCCGCTCGTCTACTCTGTCCCTTCATCTCGACCCCAAACTCCACTGGCACCTTCACCACGCAGCGCCGCACCGCGCTGAGCTCAACGGAGCGGCCGCCGGCCGCATGGGGCGCGCCCGAGGCGTCCATGTGGCGCTTTTCCGCGCGGGACCGGCGTGGCGGACAGGACTCTAAAAGGTCGGTCTCAGGTCAAAGGAGTGGGGACCTCCAGGACCACAAAAAAAGTGATCCGGAAAAGTCGTCTGTTTTTTAGTTGGGGCATGCTGCTGCTGCATCCAGTCAAGGGGAAAATGGTATCAGGTTCCAAACATTCAGCCAGGCAGGACAAATGTGCCTCTGGAACATGAGAGTCTTTGCATCCAGTTCTCCTAGAGTCTATCTGGCATTGCCAGTTTGGGGTCACGCACTCGGAATAGCCATCTTGTCCAATGAATTCCAGCAATACGGTTCCAAGTCGCAGCATCCAGGATTCCTTCCCTTGCCAACGGGAACCCATCACACACACAGTCAGACTAAATGGTCCGCCGATGAGGCTCGCAGTCACATGTCCCTGCAAGAACCATTGGACTTGGAAGTCTGCACAGGCTATCCCAACATCTATCTAGTCAAGTAAAATCAACATCTATCCCAACATCTATCCCAACATCATCCAACAATTAAGGCACAGCAGCACCAAAATCCGTCAAGTAAGCGATGCAGCAACTCTCATACCTCTCTTAATCGTCCTCGACCTTGAAACACATTCTGTACCGAGCTTCAGGTCTTGATTCGCAGTTCGTACTATTTGAGCCAGAAAGGCTTGGTCATGGCGTAACTACGATGTTACTACCGGCAATTGTTGGCAACGTCCCCGATCCCTCCCACAAGGGGACGTTCTTCAAGACCGGCTCCGGGCTTCCAACACTCGCTGCGTCGTTTCGCTTCGCCACTCAGCTTCGATCGCCACACCAGGTTGATCCCCAAAGAGTCCATACTGACCACCCCGTCTGCACCAGACCCTTCCAGAGTTGGCCACTTCTGTCAGGACGCGCTTTTTTATTCTCATATGGGGGTTTGATTATTCAACAGTCAATATTGCAAACTCCACCACCTTGGGACAGGTCTGCTCAAGAGTTCCTCCACCAAGAACACACAACAGCGGCTTGCAAGGCAAGCGAAAATCAACAGATCTTGCCACCCGTGCTCTTTGGGATCACTCAACAGACCAATCATATGGGGATATATGGGGATAAGTCCATGTTGTGGGAACGCCTCATTCTTGACTATCCCACATCTCAACTGTACAACTGCCTCCCATTTGTTCGACTCCAGGAGCACCTCGTCATACACAGGAAAACAATGATTCTTGTGAATTCTTGTGGGCTGATCCCTGAGAGATTCCTCCTTCCTCACGTTGGCGACATCGCCTTTCCACGGAGACCCGCCTGGCCTTCTGCTTCAGCTCCTCCACGCGGGGCTCTAAAAGCTGCATCTCGTTGCCAGTCTTCTGCCTTGTTTCCGGCACGTTCGGAAGGCACTTCTGCAGCATCTTCAGGTGCCAGGGAGGTCAAGAACCAGCAGATGGGTGTGAGGATCTCATGGAAAACATATCCTACACCGCAGGGTCAGTTCACAAATGGGAATCCCAAGGCAGCCCGCATCTCCAGTGGCCCATCACCAGGACGATGTTTAGTGTGGCTCCATCTCATAGAAGTCGACATCCCTAATGTAAGTACTGGTCGTACGTGCAACCTGTTTGGTCAGAGGGCATTTCTACTGTCAGGTTCACTCCATCCAAGCCAAGAAGCCATGACATGACTGGTGTGAATACTCAGAAGGCGAAACAATGATGAATTGGTCCCATTTGTTGGGGACTTGTGACATGCACCCGAATGCCTCCATGATGACACGGCCGGGCCATATTCACCCTACAATCCCATGCAACATGTTGGCTCGAGAGCTCAGACGGATTTCTCTTGTCATTCTGCCCGGCAGCTAGCCGACCAAATCTACTGAGATAAACATCTGAATGGAATAGAGTGAAAATAGGTTGCATCTCAAGGTCGTGAGACACTACATTACCACAACCTGACTTGTGACACACTCGAGTACGCCAACCAGGAAGGGTGCATAACTAGGCCTTAGTTGTCGAAGCGGACAACGAAGTCCAACATCCACAACCGGGTGGGCTCAAAGTAACATCGAACGAACTGCGTTCAGTCTTCACATCCCGGTATCGGGTGCAAAAGTATCTTCACCGCAGACCATCCCCGAACAAGTTGCCCTGGGAACTCCCACTGGGCGGATGCCAGCGCGGAGAGCTGCTGAACAAGCTGCTCCTGGAGCGCCTGTTTGGCCGGCTTAGCACGTATTTCGACACTTTCAGAGCCCTACAACATAACTACTGATGCACATGCCTTGGGCATAAGAGATCTCGCAAAAGAGGCCGGCTGTAGCAAATTAACTCGTTGTGGGCGTTCCATCATTTATCTTCATCTATATGCTGGGCCACGCTGCCTACAAGGTCTTTCACAAAATCCACGCACAAGTCTATGCCATCACCGAGTAACCAACGTTTGCCACTTTGCGCGCAATTCTTCGGGTTGCTCCCAGGCATGCTGCAGCATTTTGCCACCTCAGGGTGCCTTCTATCCTCTACCAATCTAGCTGTGCTCAAGGCCGGCTATAGGAATTCCAGTGCTCCTCCCCCAGCGGTATGCATGTTTCTCGACACGCGCACACACACGGATATATATATATATATACATACATATACACATAAATATGTATGTATATATATATATATATAATGCATATTACATTCTATTATGTATATATATCTACATACATGCGCTACTGCCTCAAAATGTTGGGCTACGTACTACCGACGGTCACCGAGGCAGCCAAGGCCATGGCAATGGGCAACATGGACCTTTGAATGACCAATCTCGAAGAGTGGCATTCACTTGTTTTCTTGGCACTTGGGAAATATATGCGAGCGATGATGAAGTTGATGAAGGTGCTGGTGAATGAGTGAACATCCTTCCTTCTCACTTTACCACGGATTCTGGGTAATAATTTATAGTAATAGCAATTTTTAATGTGTCCCATATGAGCCTTAGCTCCATTGAACATAGGATTGACCATGATTAACCCGTCTGCAGGCTTTGAGCACTGTCTCCGCATTGCCGCCTGTTGCTGCTCGGACTTCTGGCTGAGGCTCTCCCTGCAGGTTCTCCGGAGCTGGTGGCCAGCAAGGACCCCAAGACACGGGTCTGGTGCCCCAGGGCTGTAGAAAATCTTATATAATACACTCTGTGGGACATCTGTGGACCACCACAAGAAATAGTTGACCAAAAAGAAAACAGCCTGGTAACCTTGGCCCCTGGTTTGCCAAGCTCCCCGGCAAAGTCCCCATCTTCGCTTTGAGCTCGGTGGTCAGCTGCGCATTTGCCTGGTGGGGGTGAGGTCGCTTTGTTGTCTTTGTCCTTGTGAGATGAAAAACCCGTGATGATATTGCGACCAAGACCTCTTCTTTTGCTGCCAAGTGTTGAAAGAAGGGAAGGCTGAAGCAAAGCGTTGCGACGGCGAAGTTTCGCCCTCGCCTGGCCCAAGGCCTTCAGATCGCGCGACTGCATCTGGCAGGAAGGCAGCAAGGAACTTTTTAAGAAATTGGTTGAGTTGGTTGCATACTGCAAGGTGTCCTTCCTCTTCCTTCGTCTCCTTCATGGCTGTTCCTAGCCCCACCACTTCAAAATGTCCAGACCCCTTCCGCTTCGTCCCCTTCGCGGCGTCCCGCGGCGTCCCACCGCCTCGACCACGGCCTTCACCGTATCCAGCTCACTATGGGCGTGAGAGAGATTCAGCATGATCATGGCCTGGGACCCAACACCATCGAAGTGGAGGCCATAGCTAGTAGGATGTCATGTTGAAGCATAGCTAGTAGGCCATCGATTCACCCAACAAACATCGAAGTGGATGTCATGTTGGAGGCCATAGCTAGTAGGTTGGAGGCCATCACTAGTCCTCCTCATTTCAACCATTTTCCTCCACCGACGCTAGTTCATTCGTCGCAAGCAAGCACACCGATTTATCAAAAGACGTTCCATGCAGCCCAAGGAGATGCAGGAATCCTCGACGTTCGACAGCCATGCATGGCAATCAAAGGGAATACTGTATATAGTCCAAATTTATCCTTTTGACCTATACACCTTCTACTTCGTCAATCATGCATGCGCGGGCAGTTAGAAACACACTGTCAAACATACAGAAGTTATGGCCCCTCTCGTCTTCTTCGTCTGCAGTCTACACTGGACTCTACACCCTGAACAATCCATCCTTGCTTTTGCCTTCGTCGTGTGTTTCGTTCCCTTGTCCCGTGCACTGCTAGGCATCGGGCCCGCCCACCGGCTTGGGCACCCAACCACGAAGCCTGCCATCATCAGCAGACCGGCGAACATCACTGTCCTTTCAGCCGAATCGATGGGAACGGCTCCAAGAGGGAACGGTGGACAAGGTGAAACGCATCAGATTCTGCCAGTGAATGGGACTCGTATCTGGGCTTGGGTTCCAGTTGCTTCTCCATCTGTTCCCTGCAAAAAGCTTTCCCAGGAAAGCAGTCCACCAACTTGTCGGGAAACCTGTGGCCATGGACAAAGGAACCAGCGGCGCCTGTGGGTGCACACAAACAAAACAATGCGCAATGCGCAATGCGCGGAGGAACTCATGAAGCTTGCTCTGAACTCTGGACATCACTTTGTCGGGATGAGTCTTGGTGCAATGACCAACCCCACCAAGCTTCGCACCGCAAAAAAAGAAAAGAGGGCCCTGGCCAGCTCCCACTTTACACAAATGCAACGCTCCACTCGAGGCTGCCCACCTGCCCGGTGAAAATACGCCCTGTCTTCTGCAACAGGAATGGTATCCTCTACTGAATCACCGTTAGGCCAGAAGACCGCATAGAGTCATAGTCATAGAGATTCAAACCAGTGGCGTTGCCCACGCCGACCAGCGACCCGAGCCCCTTTGTGGAACAAACCACTCCTCGCCATGAATGGAGATCTCACCTCAGGAATGAACACGCATGGCTTCACCGTGCGATTCCCCAAGTCCAAGGAGTCATGGCTTCACCAGTCCGCGCGTGTCGACTCGCCTCTTCTGTCTTGTTTCCAGCCACGGAAAGGGGAAAGCACATTGAAACAAAAATGCCTCAGGCATCCTCGGCAGTGTAGGTTGGCACTCACTTATTTCTCTCTGAGGATAACGTTTTCAGGCTCCCGGAGTCATGGAGGTGCTGGAACACCGAGATCTCGGGTAGCCCAAACCAAACATGAAATAGAAACAATAAGCTACTAGGAACAAGTGCATCGCTACTAGTAACAAGTGCCTTATTAGTAGTAACAAGAAGCTATTAGAAACAAGAAGCTACTAGGGAAGGAGTCCAATGCTTCGTCGCAACACCGAGCCAAGTTCCCGGCCACACTGGCCACACTGGCCACACGCTGGACGACCGCCAGAGGCTCAAGCGACTGGGGGGAAGTGTTCGTTCGGCTACTAGGGGTTCGGCTACTTGGGATGCATGAACATGATGCCATCACGGGGGGTTGGGGTTCTTGCCCCGCTGCCCACTGACCATCTGTAGTCAATCGTTTCAAGTACTGGAACAGCCGTCCTGGGATGATCACAACGGTCCAATCCCAAGAAGATGAAAACTGTCGAGGCCGGCTCCAGGTTAAAGCAGATTCAAACGACTCGTGGAGGGTAGGGAGGCTAGAAATGGCTAGGAGCTGAGCGGTGAAATTGGGCTCTTGAAGGGTGGATACGGGTGGTGGCTGAGGCGTCGCTTCTCCACATGCGCCTTGAACAAAATTGGCTTCAATCTCGGGGCTCCGAGGCGAAGGACGCAGCGACACCCTGACACTCAAAGCCTCACAACCTGCAGCACTCTTTCTAAATACAGTAAGATCAAGTGCTCCACGATGGTCAGGGTCCAACAAACAAACTTGGGCCCTATCCAAACTGCCAAATGTCTTGCACCAGGGCACCTTCGGCATGTCCATGTCCGGCCTTTTTCCAAGTGCTTTCGCTTTCCGTCGGGAAAGCCCTTCGCCACAAAAGACCGAAAAACGGGTGAGACCTTTTCGATTTCCTCGGCGAATGTCGTGAAACTGCTCCGGCCAAGCCTTTCCCATAGATTCTAATTCTAAACCGATCGCTTCTCCCATAGCCAACGAAGGTCAACCTATGTAGGGTTCATGCAGTACTTGCTTCCACGAGTAAACATTCCAAGATGGAGAGAGAGAGAGAGAAAGACAGGGAAACACAGGTGTAGTACATCAGCCTCTGCAGATACATTGTAGTACTTTGCGGCTGCTTGTGTTGAGGCCAGGAGCATGCGAGTGCTGCGGCGAGATGGGACTGGGTCGTGTCGTGCACTGCAGATAGTCAGCTCGCCTTCTCTGCGAACCGGAAGCGGCTGGAGCTCAAACCCCTTTGCACCGAAGAATTTTCGACTGACCCACACCCACCCACACCCACACCCTGTTTCAG